CTTTAGCAGAATAATACCTGTTCGGATGACATCTGTTTGGATGTCAGACTCTCTTTCGATCGAATCTGGTCTGACCCTCCCCACCTTCTCTCTTTCTTTTTTTTAATATTTATTATCGCTTAGTACGTTGGACTCTCCATTATCGACGTTTAGAAGAAATTCTCTTGAAGTATCGGGCTATTCTTTTAGGTGGGTGTTATTTGAATTGGTCCCTTGTCTGTTATTGACTTTGTGGGGTCTAGTGGAGCACAGTAAAGCATTATCATGTTCTAGGTCTTGGTAGTGTTTCTTGGTAGTGTCTCTTGGTGGGATTATCCTCTTGAGACTGTGGTACAGTAAAAGCATTGTCAAAGCATTATCATTTCCTAAGTCTAGGTGATGTCTCTTGGTGGGATTATCCTCTTGAGACTGTGTAAAGCTATGTGCCCAATTTCTCTTAAGCACGAGAGTAAGCTTTAGCAGTATAATACTATTTGGATGGCATCTATTTGGCTGGTCTAACGCTCCCCACTTTTTTTTTAATAATTTAATAATCACAGTAATTAGAACGTTGGATCAGAAATTTTTATTAATAATCGTTTAATGAAATTATGCACAAGAAGAGATAGAACCGACTATATTTTTTTTATACACGCTACCAATCTAAATATATGTATTTTACCTATTATAATGACCTTTTTCAAAAATAATTGGCGTACCATTATCCTAACATCATAAAAAAAAATTCCGTATTCATTGTAATAAAAGCTAGTTATTAATTAACTTTCTGAATGATGATTAACGAAAATGGTCGTTGGCGACCAACACATCACTATTTTAATCTTAGAAGGACATTATGAAGTAGTATTTGCTAACAAGTAACTTAACGAAATTTTAAACGTTGGATTGACAATTACAATGAAGAAAATTGGAATTAAATATATTGGATCTTGCCGATCATATTTGCTAAGAAATTTCGATGACGGAATATCGCTGAAAAAACGATCTTTGAGTGCAATAAAGTATTGAAATCGACATATAACATTTTTATTAGTCCGGAGAACAATAAATTTTATAATCAATTGGCAATCACATAATCACATATATATAAGATAATTTAATTTATGTATTTGATGAAGGAATCAATACGTTCATTCCCAGTTAAAAAATTTTAAAAATACAAGCCGCGATTACATACATACAGTATATTGCGACATAAGTTAAACTATTATTTGGTGGATACGTGTAGATGTTATTAATCTTTTTCGATTAAAATCTTTTTATTTTATAATAAGTATCTTATTGATTTAATTAAACAATCATTTCGGCTAGTAAAAAATTAACGCAATTTAATTAACGTTTGGAAAATTATTTATTTATTAGCGGATGGATAATTAATTAATTATAAAATATAAAATCCGAATTCTTGTTTAATAATAATAATTAGTTAATTCAAAAAAATATTAACCTCAAAAAAAGGACTTGAATACTTTTTTACCGAATTTTCAAGACCCGAAGTATTTATTTATTCACTAGCAAAATTTTGCCACCACAAAAAATTCATCCCTCGTGATTTTCGGCCGGCATTATAGATAGAATTTTAAAATAAAATATGCTATTGTACGCGCAGTTCTTTGTACTTTTGAAAACGAATGTAAGTAAGTAAGTAAGTAATCAATCAGAAGGTTTAAAAATAATATAATCTAAAAAGGTAATGCCTCAATCGTCGACGCTCTATACGATCAAATACGTTTTCATTTTAAGGTTTTGATTTGATATTATTATTAGGGAAGAATTCTGCCTTTTATTCTAGGCGAAAACCAGCCACTTTTATATTTGATGTTTATAAAGAACCGATTTATTTATTGTCCAGAAGCATTTTGGTCACAAAACATATTGAGACTAATTCTAATAACCTAAATATATAAACAATTTAGGATTGATTACCTACCCATAATTATAAAATTAGTCGTTGTAAGTAAGTAACATATGCTTCGAGCTCCCTGCGATTATTCGAAATTCATTTTTCATAATGGTATTGACAAGTGTAAGTAAGTAAGTAAGTAAGGTAATTAAAATTTATTAATTAATTAATCATTCGAGTTAATTAATATATATAATCTGAAAAAAAAGAATAATAATTTCTGAGGTGGTAGTTATAAATAATTAAGATCTTTTGGAATTTCTCAAGAATTGTTTCATCAGATAAGTATGTAAGTAATATATATATATATATTGATTGCGCTGACTTAGTTAGTTAGTTAGTAGTCACGATATTAAATTAAAGTTTATTCATTCCATTTCTTTATAATAAAAATTTGAAGTATTTTTTAGTTATTATATTATATATAATAATATTAAAATTATTATAATATTGATATAAAATTATAAAATTCATTTATATATATGATTTTATTATATTAATATGAAAAAAAATGAAGAAAAATTTTATGTATAACCAATTAATTTGCATTTAATAACTTTGATATAATGATTTTAATTCAAATTATTTTTGAAAAAATAAAATAAAATATGTAATTAAATATCAGATGTAATCATTAACTAAAATAACATCATCTCATTTATTTGTGTTTAGCAGACTTTATAAATCCTTCATATCCTTCTTAACTTGAGGATATTTAACAATTAAATAGTAAACTATTGATAAACATCTTTCTATTAAATACTTCGTTTTTTTTATATTATTCAAATTATAACAATAAATATTATTAAAGTTTTCTATCAGCAAAATAGATTCCTTCTTGAGCAATCCATTCAGTATCTTGACCAAATTTTTTGCTAGCAGAAACTTCAATTTGCCCATGAATAGGATTATTATAAATATAATCTTTATTAGCTGATAAATATGAAGATGTTTCTAAATGCATGAATTGAACTTTTTGTTCTCTTAACCAATATATTGAAGATTTATTTAAACAAGTTAATTTCCAATTATCACCTATAAAAATTCGATTTTTAAATGTGAATATTGTTAATCAACTTTATTTCTTTTTTTTATTAAAAAAAAAACAAAGAAATAGATACCTGTATCAAATCCATCAAATGCACTAACTTCTTGTTGTTTTGATATTGGCGAATGGTGATAATGACTGTGTAAAAGTTTACCAGAACTTGAATGTTGTAACCTGATAATTGACCCGCATTTAATTGCTTCTCTAAGAAGATGATTATTTAAATAAGAAATTTGTATATAGATAAAAGACATTAATAAAAAGTATGGATTTATTTCCAACGTTTTAACATTACCCTCTTAGACATGATTCACCATGAGCCCCTTTTATAATCCAAAGTGAATCTGGATCATCTGCATTTGGAAGTCCCGTAACACTTTGTTGTCCTGACCCACTACCTAAAGATTTATTATAAGAATTAATTATTTTTTTTTTTTAAAATAAATAAACAAGAAAAAAAATTATTATTTTTGATTTGTAATTACCATACCATATGCTATAGAATGCGAATGTAATTTATAATTAGAGGGACGATGTGTCAATTTGACTGCAGAGCCACATGTAACTATAATTTAAATTAATGTTAATATCGTTTAATAAAATATCAAAGATATTGCACAATTAATTACCTTTTTCGAATTCTGATAGAATTCATAATCGTAAATGACAGAATTAACAAATTTATTTTTGTTGTAAGAATAATAATGCGTCAAATTAAGTTTAGAAAAAAGAAGAAATTTAAAAAAATTTTAATCCCAAGATACGAAACCTTCTTCGATTTCCGTGGATTGACTATTTGTCATAACTAATAATATTACTAGAAAGACCGTTGATATACCAAAAATTATTTTGAACGACATTTTTAAAAATTTAATTAAATTAATTGATTTTGTAATCTATGAATTCTTTAAAATCAAAACAACAAACAAATTAACAGGAAAATTCGAAAAAATTTTCTACATACTTGACCGATTGCGATTGGTGAATCGAAAGTTAAAATTTTATTGGCCGGGAATTTATGTCGTATCACACACACAATTTTTAACGCTTTTTACCAAAAATTTACATATTTATTAAAATAATTAAAATATAATACATATTATTTAATTTGATATGAATCAATCTTAAATCTTTAAAGAAAAATTTTGTTCCATAAATTTTTTTGTCTTCTTTCTTTCTCTTTTGAAATGTAATAACTTGATTAAAAAAAATTAATTTTTGCATAAATGAATGTCATAAAATATTTATAATATTGGTAAAGTAAGGTGTGAAAAAAAAAATGCCAATCGAATAACGATCGAATTTACATAATGTAACAAGCATATTTGTTAATATTAAATTGACGTATTGCTAGTATTTCCATTTCCTCTTGAACTTCTGCTTTATCAGCCTCTTTTTGTTTGGCTTTAACTTCTTTTGGGAAATATAGTTTTAAAAAATTTCGTAAAGGCTTATCCAAATTACCTTTATTACAGTAATGCCCAATTAGGAATATAATGTATAATTTTATAAATATTATTGCGCCATAATCATTGAACTTACTTGAGTTTGCCTTATAAATAGCATCTCCGTATCGACAAATTGGACAATTGCGCATTCCTTTACGTTCAGCTTGAATAAGGCAAGTTATACAAAATACGTGTCCACAACATAATCGAATGGGTTTCCAATAAATTACTATTATCATATTATATTATGAAAAAAGACGTAAGAAAAAAAATTATTATTTCCGCTCGGTAAATTCAAGTTACGAACAAAAAAAAAAAAAAAAAAAACTTACAAGTGCAAATCGGACATGTATGATCTTCGGGCTGTGGAATAATTGTTGATAATTGATTCTATCAAAGTAGAGGGTATAAGGAATTGCATTTTTAGGAAAAGCAAATAAACGAATAAAAGACTTACATTCATTGTAAAACAAAGAGATTTAAACATATTTTCGGTAATATATGGATCGTTCTCCAATAACTTTTCAAAGCTAGGACTGGCACTACACGTAACAATAAATTAATTATATCCAAAGCAAAAATTATTAAAGTGTCAAATGAATTTCCTTCATCTTCTCAAATTATTTTACTCTCGATAGAGTGAAAAGAGGCATACGTACGCTAAACACGTTTGCTTATCGTGTTTTTTAAGGATCTTAGACATGGCGGTTTCGTTGAGAGATTGAAAATGTTTCATGGCAATCAAATCATTATTAATCTACCAAAGATTTAATCAATGATAAATATAAATATTTGACGCATCAATTATGCTAAAAAATTATAAACCTACTCTTAAAAATTCGTGAAAGGCTTCTCTCGAAGAATTTAATAGGAATTTACGTGTCTAAAGCATTTTCAAAAATAAGAATTCGTTATGAAACTAATATAACTAAATGTATTAAGTATAATTATAATTACCAATTCAGTTCTAAACAATTCGCTGACAAACCAATTGAATTGATCTTGAGCATTTTCGTAACTACGTTCATTACGATCTGATTCAGTATTTCCAAAAAAAATTTCTGCCTGCAAATAAAATTGGAAAACTTCACGCCATATATATATATCGCTTTTGTATGGAGAAGTCTTTATGAAAATAGATAAATATTTTCTTAACTTAGATTCTTAAGTGGTTAGTTGATCGAGAAAGATAAAACTTACCACATCGATCAAAATTTCACGCAGTCGATCCATACTATTTACAAATTCATCTTGTTTTTGTCGCTGAAGGTGTTTAAATTGCGAAATTTCTTCGAACAGCGTATTGAAGAATTCCCCATCGGTTTCAAGTTCAATATACGTCTTTCTAAAGAGCAGTTAACATTAAACTTTAATATTTGACAGTAAAGATATATATAAACAAAATAAATATTACCTGTGCAATGGATCAACTGATTCGGGATGAGGGCTAATGGAATCGTTAGAAATGATGTCCGTAACGTTATCATGTGGGTCAGAAATAGTTTCCGTATCACTTAAATCGGTTGAAGGCAAGGAAAGTAATGATGACACGGAACCAGAAACACATCTCGTGCATTCGGTGTGAGTGGTTTCGAGAAAATGTTGGAAATCAGGAGAATGTTCATAAGCATCCAAGTTAAGTATAATATATGGTCGAATTTGAATTGGATTAGCTATAAATACATTAAAATTTAAAAAAAAATTAAGTAAATAGATAAATAAAGGAAATTTAATGAAAAAATTAGTTTAAGGTAATTGCTCCCCACCTTCAAAGGAGTATTCCATTTTGTACCCTTCCGCAGCATCCAGCATAGTTTTGAGAATGTCTCGAGAAATTCCTTTATCGTTTAGTTCTTGAACGATTTTATGAATACATCTCTTTAATGTTTTGTACTGAATGATGAAAGGTCTCCATTCGGAAGGAATGTCCTCAATAGTTCGTCCTAAACTTTTGCCGAATTTCATTATTAAAAAATAAGGATATTTGGTTGTGGTAAAATGAAATGAGAAAATTTATAAAATTGGATGCGAATTAGGAATTTTTGTCACAGAGAAAAAGAGAGTTTGATGTATCGGGCGTTCTTTTAAATTGAAATTTTTTTTTGCGAAAAAAACAAAATTAGAAGGATCGGTTACAATGCAAGTTTTTCCTTATGGCCATTGAAAAAAAAAATTTAATGAAGCCGTTAATTTAATTATTCTTTTTTAGGTTTCAAGGATTAACAATAATTGGCCATTTAAGCTGACAATTGTTCAAATAATCCAATAGGAAGTTGTGAGAAATTTTCGAAAATGGAAGTCTCGAGACCTCACACGACTGCCTTTTGAGGAACCGTGGCGCTTTTGAGTAATTGCCAAATATTGTAAATAATAATGTCAGGTATTTATATTTTATCAATGGGTTAGATAAAAATTTCAAATATTGACATTTAAATGGAATGCAACCTTCTATTATTATTTTTTTTTTATTTAGAGTAAACAAATAATATTCATCATTCATTATTCAATTACTTCATAGTAATCCTTTCAAATATTTGGATTGTGCAAAAAAAAAATTTTTTTCATAACATTGCATAGAAGAACATTGATTTTGAAAGTTCATTCGTTGATGACATTCAATAAATGCTACCAATCGCTAGGACCCTTGAATTTTTAATTCATACATATTTTATATCATGCAATCCATCAAGATCCACGTGATAAATTTTATATGCCGAATGCCCGGGGATTTCCGAGTTGGGAATATAAATTTACATATGATAATTTTGTATATCAAAACTTATCAGCCTATCAAAAGATCTTGGGTACACATTTTTTTTTTCACACCGTAAAGAAAACAACGAAATTTATTTTTTTATCACATGGTCGATCCGAAAATTGAAATTGGAAAATTTGATCATTTTTTATTTTAATATTCTTATAAAAAATATAATAAATAAAATTTATTTTTAAGATTATTACTAATTTATATTTCTTATAATAATATAATCATAAAAAAATTTTAATACTGATCAATCGATAAATATTGGTTAGAGTAAATTTAACTATTTTAATCAATTTAAAAAACTCTATAAGATTAATATATTAAATATCTTAATTGATTAATTAATCATTTAAACTAATTTTTAATTATATATTATTAATTTAATATATAAATGCTTTGCAGTAGAAAGATACAATACTCTAAAAAATTAAAATTTTACTTTAAAAATTAAATATGATTTTTTTTTAGTAAAATAAGTTAAAATTTAATATTAACAAAAAAAATTTTTTTTAAAGTATTGTACTGTATATATTTTTTAAAATATTTCAAATTAATAATTTAGATTTTAATAAATAAATTATTATAAAATTAATTTTAAAAAACTTTTTATTTTTTATAAAAATAATCAGACATAAATTTAAATAAATAAGTAAGTAAATTTGTTTACAAATTCTTATGATTTAAAAAAAAAAATTAAAGTAACAACTTTATTAATTTTAATTTTCAAATTATAAAAAATTGTAGATTTCAGTCTTATGAGATTTAGGATTATATCAAAATTTTATTTTTTAATATTTTAATAAGTTAGAGTTATAAAATTTAAATTATAAAAATTTAGATTTATAATATTTTAGAATTAAAATTTACCAAGATATAAAATTCAAAATTATAACATTTATAATTTTAATATTTTAAAATTTAAGCTGTTCAGAAATATATTAATTGTATTTTTAAATTTTAGAATTTTGTATTAAATTTGTTTAATACTTTTAATAAATATATATATTATATTAAAAAAAATAATAATTAATAAAATATTTTTTTAAATAAATAAAAAAATTGTAATTATATTATTAATTTAATTAATTTTATATTTAATTAAGCAGATTTTATTAAAAAATATTATATAATTTCACTTTATAATCTTAATATAAATAATTAATATATTTAAAATAAAATAAAAATTTATTATAATAAGTTTAATGATATTTGATAACTATAAAAAATAAAAAATTATCTATATAGTCAATTCTTTATAAATACATTTTTTTAAAATTGAACAAAATTGTGAATTTATATAAGATATATATTTATAAAAATATATTACAAAGTATAAAAAATCTATATTATCATAACTGCAATGTATTATATAGTATTATAAATAATTTGTTCAATAAAAATTTTTTATTAGAAATTTTATTTTATAACTAACTTTAAAAGAAATTTATTGTATATTATAATATTAAAATATAAGTTATATAAAAGTGCATTTATATAAAATTTTATAATTGAAATTGAAAATATATTATATTATATATAGAGAAGAGGATATATTTAATATTAATTTTCTAACTTTAATCTAAGCTAAATAATGCATTTATAAAGATATATATTTATATAGAATATATTTATAAAAATTTGATTGTATTTTTTATATTATTAAATATAACACTAAATATTTAATTTTGTTAATATAAAATTAAGTATATTTAAAAGATTATATAAAATATTTCTCAATGTTATTAAAAAAATAAATTTCAAAATAATGCTATTAACTTATTAATTTATTATAAAATTAAAAATAACTATGATATTTCTATTCATATATTTTTATATAAAAATATATAAAATATATAGAAAATATAAAGTTTTGAATTATTAAAAAAGCTGATATTTATAAATAAATATATTTAAAATAATTAATATGAATAGTAACGTATCTGAACATTTAACTGAAAATTATTTGTCATCCATATACATAATATAAATAATAATTTTATAGTAACTGTATCAATTAATATATGAAGTTTAATATAGTGACAAATAGATTTAGTCAAATTACTTTCAGTTAAATGTATTATAATCAAATAGTAATACAGTTTTATAATAATTAAAATCAAATAATTTTTACTAATAAGATTTCTTTTTTAATCTTTTTAAAAATAAGAATTATTATGTAATAATAAAAGTAATGATAAATCTATTTTTATACACTACCTTACAATAAATTATCGGATTTTATAAATTTTACTTAGTAATATATAGTAAAATTGAAGATTTTCAGATTGCATAAAAGTTTATGAATTTTTAATAAACTTCACTTTAAATTTTTTTATTTAATAACCAATCAATTATAATTTTAAAATATAATTCAAAATATTTTATATATAAAAATGCAAAAAACATATAAAAAAATTATTGTTTATACTTCAATATAAGAAAATTTTTTTATGTTCTAAAAAATTTCTTTTTCATTTTAATATCTAAAACTATAATTGATCAGCTATCAAATAAAAAAAAAATCAGATGACTTTTATTGAAACCTGAAAATCTTTAATTTTACTATATATTACTAAATAAAATTTATAAAATCTGGTAATTTATTGTAAGGCAGTGTATTTATTATATAAAAATATATAAAAATGATTAGCATTTATAATAAAAAAAATATATATTTAAAGCATATATTAAAAAATTTATTATTGAAAATAAATTCAAAATCTATTAAAAATATATAATAAATTATAAAAATAATTTTGAAAAATAAATGCTTATAATATTAATAAACTAATCAGATTTTTAATTTAAAAATGAAAATTATTTCTTAAAAAATAATTATTAAAGAAATATAAATTATTTTTAGTAAGAAATAGTAATAAAATTTCATGTTTAAATTTTAATATCTAATAAATAATTAATCAATTTTTAAACAAATTTAAATTTATTAAATTGGATTTATAATTAATAAAATATATAGTTTTTATTATTATCACTATTTTTTTAACATATGGAAGGCGGTCAGTAGAAAAGGAAGAAATCTAAATTTTGGTCAAAATTTATATTATTGAATCACTTGGCTGATCTCGATCATGTACACAAAATTAGCTTAATAATTAAAATTAATAAAAATTTTGGATTTCTTCCTTTTCTACTGACCTCCCATATGAGAGGTTTACTAAAAAAATTAAGTAATAAGATATAGTAAATTATATAATTTGTAACTAAGGCTTCTTGTCTAAACTCATTTGGATTTTGTTAAATATTTAAACCTTTAGTTTTATTAAATTTTACTAAGTGGTTGATATAATTTCATTATTTTTATAAACTTATTCAATTTAATAGCAAACTATCTATATAATTTATAATAAAAGTTAGAATAGATTATTAAATTAGATTTATAATTAAATGCAACTATTTCAAATTTATAATTAAACTAAAAATATAATAACTAATTATTCAGTTTTATTATATAGTGGTAAGCAAAAGAAATGCAACCAGAATTGCACATCGTTATAAGCTTATATCTCGTCAACCACAAATGCTAAGAATATGATTTTGCTTTTATTTTAAACCTCAAACCCTAGAGGATATTCAGTATAAATTTGAAATGCGATTATTAAGACCAATTTTGCGCAATTAAGCAATCTATATCACAATTTCTTATTTAATGAAATTTAAGTATAGAAATATTTCTCAGTAGGTTGGTTACTCAAAATCTAATGCTGGATTCTGATTCTCCTCAATGCGGCGATTCTAACAAGCTAAAATTCATCAAAATCAGATCAGTAGATCAATGAAAAATTGATCTACACGATCGCTTTGTACTATATATAAATATTGTTTTTTAGTTTTAACGATACGACACTGTCAGTGCATTTTATTAATTAATACAAAAATACAATAATAGTAAAATCAATAACCAAATTTTAAAGACCCACTATCCTGCATAACTATATTACAAGTCTGTTTGAGTTAATCTAGCATCGCCATCCCTCTCCAATAGATCTACTACACTCATGCATAATAATTATCATCTTCAACAAGGGATGAAGACAAACCATGGCCAATACTACTTCATTATTTCCTTTCTAAAGTAAATTCCCAAAAATAAAATAAAAATGTAACCCTTCAACTAATGGTAACATATTTTTGAAGAAGTAATTATGAAACCTGACCATCTATGCTAAAGAATTTATAAAAA